GTAATCTTTACACGGACGGTTGTGTTAGCATGACTCAGAAAAAGAGGAAATAGGAAGCGAGTATGACCGACAAATCATGGTCCTGGGCACAACACTTGAAAATGTGAGTGTTGTCTTTTTTAAATTGGCTCGGGCTCCTTTGAAATGCTCTCTGAATAATCTCTGTGATTATCAAAGTCTATTTAAGTAAATCCTTTTATCAGTTGTGATAAAGTTAAAGCTGCTTTTCAATGAAGAAACAATTTCCTGTTTACTTGTTATTTGGGCACATATCGATCGCGGATGACTGTACTGCTTTAACAGTCCGGAGGGGGAACTAGCCACTCTCCTGTTTGTCTTTTTCGTGGGCGCACGTGTCAGTCGATAAGGTATTGTTTTCAGGGTTTTCTGTCTTGAAATAGTATATAGCATGTCTCAAACACGATATATGGGTTTGTTCAGGATATGAGCTCTGACAGCTCGTTACCCAAGCGTCATATAACAGGAATCTAACAAGAGGAAAGTATTTTACTTATATCTGGAAGACCAAAAGCATAAGTTTCTTCTGGGAATGCTCTCCTACTATGTGGTTCACTCTAGTCGAAAGTGTGTGGGCGTAGAGAAGCTCTTGAACTTGTTTTCCAATGATACGAAAACGAAATCAGGAAATCGGTTTTGCACCTCTTCAAGTTGAGGTTTTTAGTGTCGCCCACGTGGTTGAAAACCAAAATTAACTTTGCATAGCATGCATGTTTCATGTCACGAATATTTCAGCTCCAAGAGATACATTTCTCTCCTGATTTCTCTTTTATCCTTGATACTTTAAGGGTCTTGGAACTATGTGGTCGAAAGCATTTTAGCTTTGGACACGTCTTAGGCTTAATTTTGGAAAGACAAAAGGTCAGTTTTACTTCCTTTCCGGTTTTAATTGTGCAAGTTCAAAAGTTATTTTTTTCAGTCACAAGACTTGTTAGAATGATATCTAGTTTCCATTGTCCTACAAAGGAGGAGAAATTCTGTGGTTGTAAATATGTTGATAATAGCGAGTGGGAGGCTAAATATTTGGCAAAAAGAAAATACGAATAAAATATCGCTTTGTTTAAAGTCCCATACCAAAAATAATCTCTCCTTAATTAAGAGCGTTATTTTCTTTTCGAAAATTGTCTGCATGAGGTCGTCTTGAAACAAATAACGGTGGTGACATCCATGCCTATTTTCAGAATTTACTCAAGTTTCACCAATCTGTTTGTCGGAAGCGTGTTACAACGCCCATTTGGCAAAACAAGTTTAAACTTGTAAATTCAGCGATTGTAATTATCTTGAATTCTCCGTGCAATACACTTAGCTGGAGACATCTTCTGAACTTTACGATAAAACAATCTGAGGTAAGTAGTTATAAAATAAGTAGTTCAGGAACATTGTGTTTCGATGTGTCTAAGTTCTTGGCTGCCACCGTCGCAAAGATAATTGAGTTAATTCGAATTGAATCTTGAAATAAGTTGATCTAAGATTGTCGAAAGCTGATAGAAGCACAGAAAGCAAAGTACGTTGTTTAAATCTAATGGCTTATTGTAACTCAATAGCGAGCTGGTAGACTCTGCTTCAACATGCAATCTTTCTTCAGTTCAGTGTGTATAAGAGGTTTGCGAAGAGCTAAGAGCCTGGATAAATTGAATTGTAACCGTCGTCGAAGAATTTTTAAACGTTGCCCTATATGACAGTTGATTCCGTCACTATCAGATCGCAATCGGAAAAGTGAAGGGATGTTTGACAGAAATCGGCTAACACAATACTGAGCTTGGAAGAACCTCGTACGGCCTTAGGACTTAAATCTAAGCAACGCGAGGTTTCTGTTGTACACGAAACATTCCCTCAATTTTAAATAAATTTGGATATGTTGAGATGGAGCCGAAGACAGAAGGTGGGGACACCACATCGGAATTCCGACGGGTTTTAGCTGTAGATCTCAGCACACACTCGCCAGTCAATTCACACCGAACCAGTGAAACTCAAAATAAATTCTCGCTACTATGTTATCACAGTGCTAGTGCTCATGTAGTGCTATATCAAGGCAGTATCTCTTAGTTGATGGTTTTCTTTATTCTGTTTATTTTCTGCTTGAAAATCTATTAGGACAGTAAGGAGAAACTAGATGTAATGTTCATCATGTCAACAGCGTGTGACAAAGGAAAAAAATTCTGAGTCCCCAACGGGATTCAGCGCCAAAGATCTCCCGAAGGCCTGGCGGGGGCGCTCTACTCGAGTATCCACTGAGCCACAGAAAGATTCATGGTGATCAAGGCCATTATTGACACGGATCCTGCATA